GATTTAAACCCGGATGATTGTAACCACTCTAAGTTCGTCTGCCTTGGGAAAGCTAGCGTGTCTCCGACATAGTGATAACACTCGTTGCCTTCTCTAGTGCAGCTCAACCAGGTCTCGTCCCATTCGTCGATATTTGTGATATCACAAATCCCGGAAAATATGCATTGTAGTCCAAACGAGTCATTCGTTGTAGTTTTTGAAAAGTGATTTCTGTTAAATAAAATATCTCCTTTTGAAGTGGACTTTGAACTTTGTAACTTTGCAGATCTTTTTTATGCTCATACAGCAACATTACAGACTAACTAAAGTTGAAAAAGTGAAAAAGCATAATAGGACCCCTTTAACCAAAGTATGTTGCAGACATTTAAAAAAAACGGGCATCCGATGTCCCCTTTAAGTTTGTGACACCAAATTGATCATCGATGAGCGTCTGTCAGCTCAGATTTTGCGGTGTGTTTCACACTGTTGACACTAGTCGTTCCACATTGGTGGCATTTTGGCCTATTGAGCATGTTGAATTGCTGTTGGACAGTCAGTGAGAAAGACCACTCTGATTGTTTTTTTTAGCTGAACCAGTGCACGACAAACAACAAAGTCAAGGGGGCACAGAAATGGCTCTTTTACATCTTCATCTTACCTGAGCTTTCCAATACGCAAATATCTTCATAATGACTTGGCCGTCTGGAATGAAGAAAGTGAAAACGGTAATCAAGCACTGTTTTGTTTACAGAATGTGTATCCACATTCCTAGTTGAATGACGAATACAGACTACTGCCACCTGCTGGTATCGGCATTATTCCTGTCACGCAGGCGTACATGCTAGTTGGCCATTGACTGTAGTCTTTGCAATGTGTTCAAGCACAACTTTTTGGCCCAGGCACAGGCAATGCGAGGTGGCAATGCGAGATGACAACACTTCGGCTTTTGTCATCGCTAGTTCTTTGGTGTTGGTTTGTTTTGCCATGTGCCTTACCCGACAATGTCAAGAACATTTGCAAAAATTGTACCTTACAGTTAGGGTTACAATTTTGTACCTTATCTACCCCTAAAGGGTGCATTTAAGTACCTTAGAGAACCAATATGTACCTATAAGACATTTTGGGGTCCCTTCGAGGGTACTGCCTCAGTGACAAGCTGTGCAATTTTTTGCCCAGAGTTTATGTTAAAATGACAGGGACAATTTGGCTAAACAAACTAGGAAATGCATGTTTTGGTTAAGCTAACATTACAAAACTAATAATACAAGTCAGGGGCCACAATTGTCAGCTTTTTCTAAATGTGCTGAGGGGCCCCAGGGGCCCTAGTGGTCAGTTTGCACTATTTGTGCTAAGTACTCTGGTATTTAGGTTTCTTTGACCCTATCTAACTGTGCAAAAGGCCCCTGGCAGTTCAAGGGCCCTGGGCCCTAATGCAACCCTTAAGACATTAAATTGCACCAAATTTGAGAGACAAGTTTAGCTTGAATCAAGCATATACAAATATATACACAATTCATAATTTATACTGCTGCTGTTTTTCTGCAAGATTGTCAGCAGGCCTTTTTTGTAGTAGTCTGAAAAACACAGAGTACTATGCTTGGGAACATGCTGTTTTTTGCTTCATGTCCTGTGTATGAAAACATCCCCCCGTCAATCGCATAAAGTGTTGCTATGATGACTGTGATGTAAAGGTGGTGAACCATAGAACACTTGTTGTGGAAGATCTTTAAACAGGCCATCGTACAGCGTTTACATCGAGAGGATTTTGCGCACGTCAGTGTGCATTTGCAGGAGGAAGGAAGCACTAGTCGTAAAGAAGGGGAAGCACCGAGCTTGGCTGTTTACGTAAACTCTGCAGATCTGCTTAAGGTGTAAAAGTAGTGCATGCGCACAGTGAACATAGCAACAGGAAATTACAGCGCACGCGCTCGTTGCTGAGGAAACCAACCTCAAAAAAACAAGATGCGGTTGAGGGGTGCCCTTAGACCAGCAGAGCCTAGATAAACAATGGCCAGCAGAATTTTTTTTCCATTTACTTAAGCATAAACAAGAGCAATCATGGAACCTGAGAGAGGGCTTAGCTGGTTTACTCCAGTCATAATGGCAAAAACTTTATGATTGTTTTGTATATGCTGAGGATAACCTGAGGGTTACACAGTTCATGCTGAGTTTCAGTGGGTTCTGTTGTCTACTGTCAATATCGACTGCTAAATCCTAAATGTCATAAAATGCTCTACATATGCGTCAACTAGTGTTACAGACAAACACACACGTTACAGTAACTAAACTTGCAATTGATTTCAGTTGAGTTTAAGATGCAGCTAAGATGCATGTGGCAAGATACTCTAATAAGTAAAAAAAATACTTATTTTTATTTAATTTATTTTTTTAAATACTTATTTGAAATATTTTAAACTCATGTTCTCTGTTCCAAACCAGTACTGGGTTACTATACTGCCTTTATCTACAACACATTTTTGAATTCCTCTACAATTTTGCATAAATATGCCTTATATGGACATTTTTAAATATGGCATTCATGTCTTGTGTATTTTGCTGCATTACATGTCATTCTAAATATTAAGCGCTAAAATCAAAATAAGTCATAAAGCTTCTTTAGACCTTGGTCTTACAGTTTTAAACGTAAAAGCGCATTTTGTGAATGGCCCCTAAGGGGCGGTTCACACAGAATGTGTTTTTGTGTAATTATATTTTTTTATGTAAACATGCACTAGACTTGTGTCTGTTGCATTTACATATTTATCTGTGTCTCACTCATGACACAGGATTCTAAAAATGTGACATTCAAGTTCAAAGTAGTTAAACTTTGAATAAATTAATCTCTCTTGCGTTTTTTTTTTTCAGTTCCACTGCTCCAAGTCTCATCTTTTTGTGTTCCCTTGTGCTGCTTTTTAATTGTTTTTCTCTACACAACATGAGTTAGATGGATGTGTTTGACTGTTGTGCTTGCACATAAACACAAACAATTGAAGTTTTTAAAAAATAAGTTTCTAGAACTTACTTTTTTTTCATTCCACTGGGCTGGCCTGCATTTCAGGTTTTTACAAAAAAATGTGTTCGTGTGAATAGCCCCTAAGGCAGCATCCGAAACGTCATGCTAGTCTCTACATAGACAGTGACACAAATCATGTAACAGAAGATATTAGTATATTACAAGACTAATGGCATGATGCTCTATTAGGCATAAAAATGCATTGCACACTCAAGTGATTTTACAGTATGCTTAGGCAGTAACTTTGTGGGCCACACGAAAAGAATCATGAGATCCTTAATTTGCAATTGCTAAAATAGAGTTTGATTCTAACATGATTGACGCTAAACTAACATATTGCTATTGTAAAAAAGATAAACATACATAGCACACACAAATAATAGGGAAAATTGTCCTTTTTTAATTGCACAAGTTTTATTTATACTTTTATTAATGCTCACTAGGTCTGAGAACAAAGCCTCTGTAATTTCATTAAAATACTAATAAAATAACCACATTTTTATTATTATTACATGTGTTAAAGAATCAGTTTACTGATTAAGAAATTGCTTAAACATCTGTGCTTTGACATTGATCAGGACTGAGTCAGAACGAGTCACTCTTTTTTTTTTTTTTCTTTCTGGAGTTTCCTAAATCTCTTGCTCCCAGGAAATATTCCAAAAGCAACGGAAATGGGAGGAGAAAGGAGAGAGGGAGGTACATACAGGAAAGAGAGCAAACCAATACTATTCTTTACTTATGTTGTAACACACACGCTATGCACTTGCCAAAACTCCCACTTGTCCAATCCAAGTAATCAATTCACTGTGTATACACAGACCCAATAGAGTTTCATAGATATTATGTTTGTTTCAGCACTCTTAAATGCCAGAAATAATAAGCAGCAGCTGCTTGATACCTGAACCCATAACCAGAGACGGACAGTAACTAAGTACATTTACTTGAGTATTGTACTTAAGTACACTTTTTGAGTATCGGTACTTTACTTGAGTATTATTTTTTCTGGGAACTTATGACTTTAACTTCACTACATTTGAAAGACAAATATTGTACTTTTCACTCCACTACATTTCTATCAAGGTCCTCGAAGTAGAAAGTCGTTACTATGTAGCAGCTTTGAAAGTCAGTAGGCGATTTTTTCTTCTCTAAAACGTGACTTTCTTTTTTTCAGACAGTTTATCAGTAATCACTCTTGTGGGGATAACTGACCCCGAGCCCCAACAGGAGTTTCTTGTTTGCTGTCTTTTTAAGTGCACTTCCTGTACTAAGCCCCGCCCACCTCAGTGTTTTTCCCAAGTGGTTGGATCAGCCTGTCCTGTCTTGTCTGTTTTACGTCAAAGTACCACGAGTGTTAGGGAGTGCCCTGACTCACTCTTCCACACACATACACACACTCATTCCTGAATAGTGTGAACTACATGCGTGCACACAAACGCATACTTGAGAACACACTCACCTCTGCTGTAAGTTTAACCCACAATAGAATGGAATTACACACGGACACAGTTAGACTGTCAGACGAGTTTACAAACACTTTAGTCTCTAGCATGTGCTGAACTTTCTGGAACAATACCAATCATTCCTGTGATGACACTTCTCATCTAGTCCAATCCTTAATGCTAAATGATATAGCTTCCTGTTGGTTTACAGCCAAGCTCATTATTTAAATACAGTCCTACTGAGTGTATACTTCATTTGCAGCATTATTTTGATCATAGGAAATGTTAGCATGTGTGTGTCAGCGTCAGATGAATCAGTGTTATCACAGGATTTATAATGACATTTCATTTCAGCACTTTTTTATGCGTGGGCGTTGAAGGATGGCACTGTTTTTAGCAATGTGTGATGAAATATGTTTTTTCAGAAATACATTTAGAATCTCAAATCGAGCCAGTCTGTATTTCTTTTCAACAAGGAAATAAAAAACGCTCCCCGAAACATGATTCCAAACTGCTGAATCACCTATAAGACAGAGACAGATAGGGAAAAATGAGTGACACTAAAAACAAGTTAACAGTTGAAGGAGGGAAGGACATATTATAATGTTACATATAGGTTATGTCACAGGAAATGGGATGAACAGCTTGGCAGATGTGACATAAATCACCTCTAATTGATACATTCCAAGAGTCTGTGTAGGCACATGAAGAGACAAAGTGACTATGGACCTTCTAAGACCAGTAAAGACCGACACAAACCAGTATAGTAAAAACAGGTTAAAACAACCACAAAAACGTGTCGCCTCAGACCAGTAGCGTCAGAGAAAGCGTCATTAGTACTAATAGTACAACTGAAACCTGCTCAAAACCGGGACAGTGTCCCGTATACTGTATATACAGCAAGTACAGATGGAAGCATATTTATGGCATCCGAGTTTAAGAACATTTAAGAAAAGTCATGTGTGAGATCGTAAGACTGCAAATGTGCTCAAAATTATTTATTATTTTTTTGAAGCTGTGAGGTTTTATTATTTGGGCAAGCTAATGCTACAGGAAATGCCTGGATACCAGCTGTACTGTGCTGACACACACTCAAGCACGTACACAAGAAAACATTACGGCTCAGGACTCCTGTCATGACTAGAGCATCTTACAGATACAGATGTGTTTTCAGGAAGCCTATGGATTTATATCTGCATTTTTGCACTGTGAACATCCTTGCATGAGGATGGGGTTCCTTAAAAGAGCACAAGTATTTGAACAATCACTGTTATTTGAATATTAGATTCCAATCACACGAGTTCAGACAAGTTATAAAAAAAAAGTTTTAGTTTGCTTATTGGGGAAAAACCCAGTTGAAATTAAGGCCAAGTGAGTTACTGATCCTGAAGCGCCCTCTACTGGTCATGAGAAGTTCTTGTATGTGAAATAAGTCAAAGGGCACGGAACAAAAACTTTAGAAAAAAATTCTAACATTGGCAGCAAAGGGATGCTATATGGAGTTTTTGTAATAATCTGTGGGGGAAAAATACAAAAGGTATTTTTAGTGTAAAATAAAAAAAATAGTTTTGTTACAATTTAAATTTATAAAAACAATTATGAATATTTTAAATATAATTTAATGTTTATAGATTATACAAATTATTTTTAAATGCTCATCTCATCTTCCTTGCATATCAAAATATAAATATATACTGCCATTATATCTCATAAGGTTGTTCTGCAGAGGTAGGCTAACATTAGACAACTGAAAATAGTAGCTGGGGGCCTTAGCGTAATTTCGCACCATAACACCAAGAACCTGGTTCACCTTTTTTTGGTCTCGGGACGGTCTGGCTAGAGGTTTGGAGGTCCCTGGCAGTCTGGGCCCCAGTCTATAATCCAGACCTGCATACATTTTATTATAATTTAAATGTGAGCTTGAATTAAATAGTAAGAGGATGATGAAAACTGCACATGAAACAAGCTCAAACTACACCGTACATCACATAGATTTTTGAGTAATCTATGATTTAGATTAACTTTACCCTTATAACACTGAGAGAGCTTTCATTCATATTAAAGTTCTCAAGATTAGATTTGATAAAAATCAGAAAAACTCCTCTCATCATCACATGATGGAAAAATAACGAAGAAAGAACAAACTCAAAAACAGAGATTTATATGTTTATTACCACAGCGTCTGCTTTGTATTCTGTCCAAAAAATACAATTTCAAATGTCAATACATCCAGCTGGAACAAAGCATATGCTTTTCTTACAAAAAAACAAACAAACAGATAAATCAACATTAAAAAGGACACAAGATGCTGGGAGGGGGGAAAATAAATTCTTAAGCCTCATATACAAAGGCCAAGGAAGTCTGATGTCTACCAGTCCAAAGATAACTGAAAGAAGACAAACAATGACACAGACAAATAAAATTCTCTATATATGCGTGTGTAAATAAAGCCGGCAAGAGAATTTACATTCTGTGGTCCAGTAAAGGGACTGGATTCTGAGAGTCACTACGATGAATGGTGACACTCTGTTACAACAGAACCTTCAAACCAAACATCAACAGCTTCAGTGTGTGAAACATTGAACCTCTACAAGCAGAAAAAAACCTCCTCGCGACCCAAACATGGCCATTCTGGACTGGTCAAGCAGCAGTCAAAGAGTCACCACACAAAGCGAAGTCACAATTAAAAGCGTTTCAGGCCTCAACACACAAGAGGCTTCATTTGTTTTGAGGTTACTGCATTAGACTTGTTCACACATTGTTCAAAAGTAACAGTTCTGCAGTGTGGTTTGATTCGAAAGAAATGTTTATGCCCGTCTGCCGTTAATCTCTCTGGATAATAATTACTATGACAATAATATAATAAAACAGTAAAACACAAAGACAGCGCACTGTCACTGGTCGTTTCCCTCTTTGCATTCATACAGTGCTGGTGTTTTGTTTTCTACATTTTTTGGTAAGTCTAACCTCCTGCGCTTAACGCACACCATTTAGGTCATGTGACAAGGGACAGAAGCATGAATGTATCTGTATTGCAGCAGGAAAAAATAAAATTTTAAAAATAAAATTCGAACCCTGTCCCATGAGTCACCGTCCTCTAAAAGGGGAATAACAAGTGAAAAATCTCATTGTACTTAATACTGCCACCTGCTGCCACATTTTTGTTGTAACAATCAATCAGTCAGGTTAACTTGCTTTACCTTGATTTCCAGAGAAGAATTTGGACATAAAAATCCATGAGGTCTAGAAAGAATGCTTGCTTGATTTGAAATGATTTTAGTATTTCAGTTTAATTAAAAAATGAAATGCGAGTTCTGGATAAACTAAATGGCCACAGCAGGGCCTCTGCAGAACCAACTGAAGTTTGTTCTGAATGTGGCATCCAGCTCCAGGATTTTAAATGGTCTGATTTGACAAAGGGAACCAACGAATGAATGAACGAATGAACAAACGAACGAATGAGAGGCCGGTGCATCACTCACTTGATCTTTTTTTTCACACAGACAAAGTGCCAGTGTCACCTTTGGGGTATAAACTAAAGCTGAGGCTGGAAAAAAAAAAAGAATGAAAGGAAAAAGCTTTTGGGATGTTTTCTGCTGTGAGAGTAGCCTAACAGAGCACTTGATGGTATCAGACATCCCAGACTACTCATGATCTCCCTTTTCTCCAAGACACACAAATACAAACAGGTTTTCAATCAGGTACAGCAGATTTGTGTTTTCAGAATGTATAAGACAAGCTCACCTCCTGTGCAGCTCCTTCTGAGACTTACAAATGCAACAAAAAAAATTATTGAAATACATACATACACACACACACACACACACACACACACACACGAAAAGTTCCCTTACTTGCTGCAGCAATAACAGAGTCTTTTGGATTTTCTGTTACCTGTGTTTAACGTTTGGGTAGCAACACCTGAATTATGAGGCCCTGAGGTTTTAAACGGACACACATTTATTAGATTGTGTGTAAGAGTGTGTGTGTAGAGGGAGGCGACAGCAGTTTGGCTAGGAAAAGTCTCTGAAACTCTTTCCCAAAGACATTCGGAGAGAGTGAGACGGGCCCAGCTGAGAAAGTGTCTGTGTGGGCCTCTCTTTTTCTTTTCCCGCCAATAGCCAGCACATGGAGGGATAGAGAAAGAGACGGATGGGAAAAAGAGGGCATCAGTGGAAATAGGTGCGGTAACAGGCATAAGCACCTACAGCCATTACCGTGCACATAAACACACTGGCCAGCTGGGGGCTCCACGCTCCATTGGCAGCAACAGGAGTCGCCTCCTCTGTCGGAGTCTTGGGCGGAGACCGTGCAGGTTTGGGAGGGGCTTCTCTTGCGACAATTGGGTCATCGGGTTCGCTTAACAACACCGACGCACCGACCTCACCGGCTGCCCGTTTGCGAAGCTCTGACCCGTCTGTGAATGTCTGGGGCGCACTGTAAAAACACAACAACTAAATGTTTGCATGTGGCTGCTGGATGGGTACTACTAGAAAGAGAGAGATATTGAGAGTTTGACCTGTTTGCACAGATTTCTGCACTGTTTTTTATTATCTCACTGAAGAAGTGGGTGGTGTCAGAGTTCACCAGTTCGTCTTTGCCATTGGGTGGGTCTATTCGGGGCCGTGGTCTGGGAGGAGGAGGAGTTAATTGAGGGGGGAGATCCTCCTCATTTGATAACTCCTTCCATGACTCCTACTCACACATGGACACAAGCATTTCACTGATCGATACAGTCTACTAAAGGTGGGTGAAATGAACAATTTTTTATTTATCACAGATGAGATTTTCTATATGACAATGAGGTATATCATATGAGGATATGTTTGCTGGACATTCAATACCAAAATGTTTTCTATATTAAATGACAATTTAGAGGTAGTAGTATTTTTCCAATAATAAAATCATTTAAATAAATTAAAAATTACAGGGATTTTATTTATTTATTTAGGCATTTTATGGCCAAAATCTATGATTATTTTTAACAATTATAATGATTCAAATAAAATAAAAAATTGAAAAAAAAATGTATACAAAAAAATGAATTGCTCAAATGATATAGCAATGACTAGCAGTTGATATTTATACTCAAGCATAATACACTACCCTTCAAATGTTTGGGGTCAAATTTTTTTTTCTGAAAGAAATTAATACTTTTATTCAGCAAGGACGCATTTAATTTTAAAGTATTTAAAGTGACAGGAAAGATTACAAAATATTTCTATTCAAATAAATGCTGTTCTTTTAAATGTTCTATTCATCAAAGAATCCTGAAAAAAGTATCATGGTTTCTATCCACCTTTTTCTTCAATGCGGAAGCAAGCCTATGGGTGAGACTTCCGGTTCATTAGCCGCTATAGGGAAATAATGAGAAGAATAACAACGTGCAGTAAACGGTAAAACTGTTTGCATTACCAACCAGTGTGTTCATAATTAAGATAATACATTAAAATAATATGGTAAGAGACCAATTTTCAATATCAAGCAGCGAAAGGAGCGGTTCTGTAGAGATAAAATAGCTGGACGCAGATGACCCATGGAATTTACAAATGGCCGCGCCCATTTTTACGGCAAGAAAAAGGTGGATAAATTTTTTATTCAGCACAACCGTTTTCAATATTGATAATAAGAAGAAATGTTTCTTGAGCCCCAGATCAACATATTAGAATGATTTCTGTGGGATCATGTGACACTGAAGACTGGAGTAATGGCCGCTGAAAATGTAGCTTTGCCATCACAGCAATAAATTACATCAAAACAGTTATTTTAAATTGTAAATATTTCATAATATTACTGTTTTACTGTATATTTGATCAAATAAATGCAGCATTGGTGAGCGTTTTTAAGAAACTTTTAATATTAAGAAAACCTCACCAATCCCAAATGTTTTAATGGTATATACAGCGTCATTCTACTCAGCTCTACATCTTATAATACCTCAGCAAAGCATCCAAAAATTGGTTCTTTAACATGACTTTCATTACCTGTACAGACGTGTCTCCCATTATGTACTTGGCACCCTCTATGACAGCGAGGTAAGAGAAACGCAGCTGGTCAGCTGTCTGGATCAGACCCATGCGGTATCGCCGCATTTCCAGCAAGACCTCCTGGATGCGTACTGATGTTGGATCTTTCCTCTGAGACATCTGAGAACACACATAGCAGTTGTTTAGAGGATGTTGGAATCTTTTTACGGAGTTCTAAATAAAAGCAAGACCAAATCTGCCGGTGCTGGTCAGAGTGACTGTCAAGTGAAGTACACATGAGAAATCCAGACATCCAGTGATGCTTTGATTCAGATAAATCTCATACATTTACATCTCATACATACGTTTTCTATTTTAATATACAGTAGTCAACATTTGAAGTGGATCAAACCCTTTCATTAAAGTTGTCCTAAAACCAAAATGCGTTCTTGTCTTAGGACAACTTTGATGAACTTTTTTGATCCACTTCAAATGTTGACTACTATATTTTAAAATGTAGTTTATTCCTGTGATGCAAAGCTGATTTTTTAGCACCCTTTACTCCAGTCTTTGGTGTCACATGATCTTTCAGAAACCATTCTAATATGCTGATGTGATTCTCAACTCATATTCATTATATCATTGATGTCAGGATTCTTTGATGAATAGAAAGTTCAAAAGAACAGCATTTGTTTGATACCATTTTTGTAACATTATACATGTCTGTCACTTTTGATCAAATTAACATATTTGATTAATAAAATTATTAATTTCTATTTTAAAGAAACCCATCTTACTGACCCCAATCTTTTGAACAATAGAGTATATTTTATTTTTGAAATAAAAGAGTGCTGTTGTACCAATAATCATAGAATTGTATCTTCCATATGCATAAATATAAATGCCATGATTCTTGAAATGTAATAATATAAACCAATATGCTGTTGTACATGCTCCATTATGTAAAAAGATTAAATATTAACCAGCACTCTTGTCCGGCATATCTGGAATTGCATACAAGCGGTCAGTCCTCTCACCAGTAGAAGGCAGGTGTCGACAAGACAGAACGTTCCAGAGCGGCCAATACCAGCGCTGCAGTGGACCACGACAGGACCGTGCTCTAGACTCAGACAGCCCGACTCACGCACTTTGAACAGGAAGTTGAGAAAAGATGCAGGCGACTCTGGCACGCCAAAATCTGGCCATGTGGTGTAGTGGAAATGAAGAATCTCCCGTGTTTCCTGTGTCTTTAAACACACGCGACACAAGCATTAATCACCGTGAGCACGTGCTTGTTAGAAATAAACCTCTGGCATCTGCAATACCCTGAAACTGTTGAGTGAAGTCAACAAACCTGTCCAGATAGAAGTTCTGAACAAAACATTAAGAACATGCAACATATTTTGTAAAAAAAAAACTTTTGCTAAATGGATGAAAGTGACTAAAGTAGGATTATATATAACCTCAAAGCACGACTGGATGAGATGAAAGGAAGATCAAGTGTCTCACCGACAGATTTTCCAGCTCCAGCAGTCGTACTGTGTAGTACGATTTCACATCCTCTGAGATCAGAGTAAGTTTGAAATTTGTGTCTTCAAAAACAGCCTCCCTCTCCTCTCGCTGAGGCCAATACTGAGCACATTTTATCTGTACATACACACACACTTCTTCATTATAACCACACAAAACAAACCTCACACACACAACCCATGTACACACTCCATATGCATGCTAGAAGCATTGCAGGCAGGTATTCAAAGTGAGTCTGTGTATCCATGTGGCAGATACAGGTACTGTGTGTGTTTTTCTCACCGAGCCTTTCTCTATAACGCGATTCAGCATCACAACCCCTCGGCAGCGCTGCTCCCACACTATCTCCCAGAAATGACCACAGGTGTTTGGTAACGGACCCTAAACAAACACACAACCATTAAAACAAGCACATGCAGTATATTGTATTAATAATACATTTTAAACATGTTGAATTTGTCCTGCGACAGGGTTTATAAGAGTAAGCAGCACCATTAACGGCCATTCAAAATTTTGGTAAGATTTTTTGTTTTTCATTTATTTAATCAAAAATATTGAAAAAAACAAAAACATTTTTGTTAAATATTACTACAATTTAAAATAACTGCCTTCTAATTTAATATATTTAAAAATGTCATTTATTCCTCTGATGGCAAAGCTGAATTTTCAGCAGCCATTACTCTAGTCTTCAGTGTCAAGAAACATTTATCATCATCAAATATTTTAGACAGTTGTGGTGCTTTATTTTTGTGGAAACCATGATACTTTATTCAGGATTGTTTGAATAAACCGTTCAAAAGAACAACATTTATTTGAAATATAAATGTTTGTAACATTATAATAGCCTTTACTACCATTTTGATCAATTTAATGCATCCTTGCTGAGTAAAGTATTAATTTTAAAGTGTTAAAATTTAAGTGAGATTAAAATCTCACTAAATCATATACACTATATAAAATCAATTAAATCATATACAATATATACAAATAATTAGTCAAATACATTTTTTAATTCTATTATATGAATTTGGTATTTTTAATTTTACTCAGAGTGGAAACTCCTGCACTCTAAATGAACTTTTTCATTAGTCTGCGTAGAAAAATCACACATTTGAGCAGGTGTGAGGTACATGACAGTGCGGGTGAGAATGTGTGCGTGTTTGTGGCTATAGCTGGCAGTGCTCTGACTGAACAAGGCCGGCAGGTTGAGACGAGTCTGCTGCCATCTAAGAGCATCAGAGTGCTAATTCATCTGTACAATAAAGAAACATGTCATGCTGACGCAACTCAAGATTTCACAACAATTCCCAGTGTTCTCCCAGTGAAAATCTCTCTGGCAGATGCCACGAGTGTCCAAGTGGAACATCACCACAGTATATCAGTGTGTGACGTCGACTGGGGTGTTGGCAACCTAATAGATGCGTAATGCAAACGTCAACACAAATGTTAAAACCAGGATGGAGGATGGAGGATGGAGGGGAAATAGGATGTTTCCCCATTACTTGCTTAACCTAACATTGTTTTAGTGTAGCTAACCTGTTTGTCTTATGTATATCCGAAGTCCCACCCGAAACAAACCAGAAATTAACAATATAACAATGCCCCTTAGCGGTTATAAATTCACTGTAAACCACGGCTTCACGGGGCTTATTGCTTTTATAAAATGGTTATTCCATATATGTAGTAGGGTTTCACAAAATAAAAGAGCAAATAAAGTTTAATGATATTAATAAAAAAAGTATTCTTCCACCAAACAATGTAGTTCCTCAGAAACAGTTGTGGTTGCAATAAAGTGGTTGCCAAGCAACGCACAGGAGTAAACAAAGGTGTATGTTTGTAGAGTAATTTACAACAGCTTTGAACGTGGCTCAACCAATCAGAATCAAGGATCTGTACTTTCCGTTTTATAATAAAACTTTTGTTGTGGGCCCTGTGAATTTTAGTGATGGCCCCAAAAAAAATGAATAAAGAAGTCTGCCTATGTCCAGGTTTACCTGGTTTGAAATCTCAGTTCTAAGTCACGTCGAATGAAAATAAATGGCTAGATAACAAGACAAATATTTGTTGTGAAAATTCAGCATGATAAACATTTTAATTTGAATGAACGACTCTAAATGCACCTGTTCAGACAGACACAAACATTTGCATGCCATTTATGTGACAGCTTTTTTTTTATATACAGAAAAGAGTTCTTATCTCATATCTATTGCACTGCAAAGAAAACTAACCAACCATCAAGATTAGCTCTTTTCTATAGGCGCCACCTACTGTCAGAGAGTGATTTCACCTTTTCATTCAGCTTGTCTGCCATTTTTTATGCCTACATGTGTCAGATGGTGTGCAGGTGCAGATAAAACATCAGATTCAGAAAATGCAAATCTGGGGTCTAAGTGTCAGTGTCACCTGAGTTAGTATGTAGTTTCTCTGAGCTTCTTCCACTGAGATCAGGCTGGCATTGATGTAGTCATTACTGCCGATCTGTAGACGAATACGGCTGTGGTCAACTGTGAAAAGAGAGAGCGATTAAGCTGTGAGGTGCATCACCCATGATGCTTTGCATGTTCAGTGGTGGAACGACTCTTTTTCAGGTCCTGTTCTCAGTTCCCCACAAGAGAGAAAAACATCTCCCTGATGAAAACGCTCAATTGAAAGAGATAAAACACAGTGTCATTCATTTAATGTGGTGTTTTGTGAGCTGAGGACCTTTTCAGGTTGTTGTGGGGGAAAAAAACTCAGAGAGAGAGAGGAAACCACAACAGCTCTTTAAAGTATTTGTGGCGGAAGAGTTTAAAAAGGGAGAGAAAAAAAAGACATGACATCTTCAGTGTGAAATGACTTTAACAGCTCGCTGATAACAGACCCCTTCCGTTAGGTGTCACTGACTGTGTCAAACAGGGGAAGTGGCACACTTACACGGACTGACGTCTCTGTAGCGATTACGACTTCTGTTTTCTGGAAGTTTGGCGCTCTTGCATGGTAGGTCACTGGACTGCTGCTTAATCTCCTACGGTAAAACACAAGTCTATGAGATGAAAATGCCATTCGTCCATCACTGTCATTAAAAACTACAAGTGAACCAGATTAGTAGATAAAAGTGTCAAACTAACTAATAACAGACTCCCTCTCATAAAAGATGAACTCATCCCCCTCATCTCTATATTGGTCACTGTTTACAAATGACAAATTCAGGTAATCTCTATGTAACTTGTATCATTTATTCTGCGAGTTAGGGGGAAAGCAGCGCAATCTGAATTGTCAAAAAAAACATCACATCAACAAAAAAAAATTAAAAAAAAAACTTATTTTGGACCGTTATGAATATTTAGAACATCATAATCAAGTATGGAGCAGAATCAGTCCTTTTTACCTGGTAAACGGCGTTCCAGTTCCCGAGCTCATCGATTTCCCGAAACTCGGTTTCCATTGCCGCGTGTTCCGCGTCGTTCGGTAGATGACCCCTTGACAATACAATTAGTTATAAAGTCTATGTAGAATCACATGAAAAAAAATACTTTTAAAATCTGCTTTAATTTTCTAACAGAACGTCTCTAATGGTACTGTTGTGTCGCTCTTACCGGAAACACGCTGCTCGCTCCTCCCGTAGCACTGCCCGTCTTGATCACGCCCCTCTTTCCTCACATTGACCAATGAAATTCCGTGAGTGGCCATAAACGCCTGGCAAAGGCCAATCAGCGCAACGTAGTGGGGCGTGGCAACCCCTTCGGCCAATCATATTACGGAGCGTTACCTCTATTATTCTGGGCTTTGTAGTTTTTTGTAGTTCGAGGAGTTTACACAATACGCATGTGTGTATTGAGGTTTAGAAACGTGTATGAAGTAATATGGCTCATATATATTTTTTAAACTTTGCAGTTTTAAGAGTGGAATCAAATAACATGTTGTTATATCTTCGTCAGCAGCATTTAACAAAGTAAATGGGATATTTTCTACATCTACTTGTGAATTTAGGCTAACTTATTGTATTTTGGTAATATTTATTATTTTTTGTATTTTGAGGGCATTTCATTGTACTAGACAATATTCACCTTTTTTAGGTACAACACATTTTAATTTAATCATTAAGTTTTTTATTTACCTGTATGTAAGCACAGTGCAGTGTTAATGTTCAAACTGTGTATATACAATGTTAAAGTGGCTGACAACAATAAATATTCTTATTAGGAATAAAACTGCCTCGTTCTTGAACTGTGCAGAGCTGTAACTGAATAATTAGGCCAACTACACAACTGTATGGGTCATTATGGTGGTACTTGGAGATCTTAGGATCCTTGGAAAACGCAGTTTTACACTTGCCAAAAAGTGATTACAGACTCTACTTATTGAGTGAACTGTTCTTTCTGACTCAAAATGACTTGGTTTCATTCCTGGTTGTTATATTTGATAGATTATAGTTCGTTCAGTCCTTTTTACCTGTTGAAATACCTTTAAATGGCCAATAAAACCCATAAAATGCAATTTTACGCTTGCCAAAAAGTGATTACAGGCGCCAATCAGTTTTCGGCAGACGATCAATATACGGCACGACACCAGTACCACGGTTCTTCCCTCTCCGACAGAGACGTGCCCACAGCCTCACTGTCTCCGTGACCTGACATAGCGTAATGTATATCAGACTGTTTTAATCTGTGTCAATTGATTTATTTGTCTTATAATTTCCTAGTGAACTGAACCGCCTGGTTCTACAGGTTTCATAGACTCATAGCGACCAGACGGCGAGCAGCAGCTGCTGGTAAACTCCCATGAACTGATCTCACAGCCTGTCCAGCCAGGTAACGTATGAACACCGAGCTCTTATATTATTAACTCTAGTCGGTCATATTAATCTGTGAAATGTTCTGAAAGTAACTGTATGTTTTTGAAATTAATAATCAAATCAAAACATAAGGAAGTACATTAGCATTCAGGCTAGTGTCATCATCAGGTTTGACTAAACTGATTCAGTTCAGTCATATAACAGCGATGTTACGCGTCGTATAATAATACAAACACAGAACGTTTAGCAGAACATTGTTCGACGTGAGAATTCGTAAATGTTTTTTTAATGGTTTAATTATTTGTTTGGTTGGTTAGCCTGTAAGCACGCCAAGTTAACAGTGTGTAAACCTTTAACACTATGGAAACTGTAGCAGCCAGCCAGTCCAGCCTGACCAGATCTGAGCAGAAAAACAACTGATCATATTATGACAGATTGCACGAATACAATTCAAGTTAAAACAGATACGTTTAATCTAGTTTACGTTTAATCAAATCAGTATTAGAGATTATCTTAAGGGGCCCTTTGGAATTTATTTTAGGGGCTTTTACATTTGCATTACATTACATTTAGTCATTTAGCAGACACTTTTATCCAAAGCGACTTACAAATGAGGACAATAGAAGCAATCAAAACTAACAAAAGAGCAGCAATATGTAAGTGCAAATGACACGTCTCGGTCAGCCTAACGCAGTAGCAGCTTTTGCACATGTCGTTAATTTCTGACAACACTTAAAGTGAATCAATTATTATTAATCAATCAATTAGATATGCCAAGAATTGAATATTATGAAATCCATGATAAGTCTTGACCACATGGCCAATGTTTTTAACAGCAATGTGTTAATCTGTACTTTTTATGCATCCTCATCAGGCCCAGATTGTGAACTGTGGAACAAGGTGTAAACTCTGGGGAGTTTTAGGTTTGTCTCCCCATGACAACGTGTCACCATGGTGACTGCGGCTCCAACAGTGATGCCGAGCGGTGCACCTCTGATGAGGACACAGAGCTCGCGGAGATTGGGCCGTTGCTGACAAATACAGCTGAAGCTGAGAAATCAAGAGTGAGTTGTGAGGGGAAAATAAAACACAATACCGTTTGGGGTCAGTAGTAGTATTTTTATTTGAAGACATTAATAATTTTATTTTGCGAAGATGCATTAAATTGTTTAGAGGTTACAGAAAGCATTTATAAAGTTCCAAAATGTTTATATTTCAAATAAATTCTGTTCTTTTGAACTTTCTTTTCATCAAAAAATCTGAAAAATCAGCTTTGTTATTACAGGAATAAATAGTATTAAAAAATGTATTCAAATGAAAAAGAAAAAAAAAAGTTTATTTTTAATCATATAAATGCAGCCCTGCTAAGACTCCAAGCTTTTAAATAGTAATGTACATATAATAGCTGGAGTGAGGAAAGAACAACTAAGCTTACTTAACTAAAAGCTAAAAGATAATTAGAAGCATGATTGTTGTTGCAGGGTGCGTCAGCATTTCCTGATGAGGATGAGGATGAAGGAGGTTTGTGGGTGGCCACACTGCCCATGCAGGCACACCGTGCCATGGAGGAGTTTGTACACAAGGTAACAGATGTTTATCCTTAAAGGGATAGTTCACCCAAAAATGAAAATTTGATGTTTATCTGCTTACCCCCAGGGCATCCAAGATGTAGGTGACTTTGTTTCTTCAGTAGAACACATATGATGATTTTTTAACTCCAACCGTTGCAGTCTATCAGTCGTATAATGCATGGCAATGGTAACAAAATCTATGAGAGTAAAAAAAACATGCACAGACAAATCCAAATTAAACCCTACGGCTCGTGACGACACATTGATGTCCTAAGACACGAAACGATCGGTTTGTGCCAGAAATCGAACAGTATTTATATCATTTTTTACCTCTAATACACCACTATGTCCAACTGTCTTTGGGCGCACGCACGGCATCCGGTGCGTGAGGTGTGTATGCGCTCTGGCCTAGTTTACGCAAGAGCCGGAAGTGATCTCTCGCGCGTATACAGTGGGGCAAAAAAGTATTTAGTCAGCCACCAATTGTGCAAGTTCTCCCACTTAAAAAGATGAGAGAGGCCTTCATTTCATTTGTATATTTGTTTTATTGTATTTTTCAGTTTGTTTTACTTTGTTTTTTTTGTTCATGTTCTTACTGTATCTTATCTTATGTATAAAACACAAAAAATGCCTGCACACTGGTGCATTTACAAATTGATGTTTTATATTCATTTCAGTAAATATTTATTTTACATTTCAGAATATAAAGCAATGTTAATTCAGCTCTTAATTTGTCATATATATATATGTATATATAAAACAAAAAGTACTGATAAGAATACCGTTAAAGTACCGAATCGATAAGCAGTATCGGTAAAAGTAGTAATACCGTTAAAACCTTAACGATACCCATCTCTACTTCTGAGCCTGCTCGCCTGAAGTTATGGTTGATTGCTCTTCGGCTGGATATCAACACACCCATTAACGTAAACTATGCCAGAGCGCATACACACCTCACGCACCGGATGCCGTGCGTGCGCCCAAAAACAGTTGGACATAGTGGTGTATTAGATGTAATATATATTGTACTTAAGTATGAAAAGTATTTTTTAAATGTTAAACGTACTTAAGTATTGAAAGTAAAAGTACAAGTAAATGCAATGCAGTTACAGATGAATAAATAATGTTTTGTTTTTAACATAAAACGTTGAATACTGTTATTTTAAATGATTTTAAAACATAAAAAAAACAGTCTAAATGTGAAATTAAAACCGCCAGGTGACCGCAAGTGACTGTTAATGAGTGAGTCATTGAGATTCAACCGATTCATTCAAACGACTGATTAATTCAGAAACAAAGCATTTGACTGTGTTAATGAGTGAATCACTGAATCATTTATTCAACCAATTCGTTCAAAAAGCTGATTCATTCAATAAGTAAACACCGTCCTTTGCTCAGAGATGCAAAACAGTGCTGTGATCTTTGTTTGGAACTATATTCGTTAGCAAAATTGAGCAAAAACAAGCAATATTATGTCTAAAATTTAAGTCACTTATTGCTTTACTGAACTTGTATAAAATGATTATTAAATATGTTCATGCTGATATCTGCAGAAAAACGGTACTCTTTGTGTGATATAGCGCAAGTTAGCTATATTAAACTATATAAATATAAAAAGCATACAGAAGCATTTTTGCCGTGTACAATTTAGAATGCCTTGAATTTTGAGTTTTAATAGACTAATAAATCAACGTGCGTACACTCTGTGTGTGATTTGTTGATATAGCCTACTTGATAATGTCAGATCGCACATCATTACAGCAACACTTACCATATTATCGCAGACGATGCTGTAATGCACACCCCAGACTCGACTTGAGAGGAAAATGAATCATCCGCGGTTGTGTGCGCACTTGTTTGCACGTGAGCAAAGGTGTTTTTAAGAGTCTAACTTGGGAGTCTAACTCTGGCAAACGCCAGACCACTAATTCATGAAACCTGCTTTCCTGCAGTCCGTGTTCTTCTGACTTCTGACTATTTTGTAGTAAGTAACGAATATGCTTCGGGGAAATGTATCGGAGTAAAAGTAAACATTTTAATTAGGAAATGTAGTGGAGTAAAAGTTGGCTGAAATATTAAAACTCAAGTAAATTACAGATACTCCCAAAATATACTTAAGTACTCTAACGAAGTATTATTACTTTGTTACATTACACCACTGCCTGGAACGCCTATTGATGTATTTTCAAAAATGCCATGCGTTTAACTAATCACAATGTTCATATTTAAATTGATTGTTATTTAAGTTCTAGTCTGAGATGTTTGTTAAAGGGCACCTATTATTAGGGGT